TTTTTCTGTGAACAAATCACCACTATACTTGCTACAACACTAGAAAATTTTGCTTGTTTTAACAAATTAACTTAAGAATCATGGGTATTATTTTAATGCCTGTATTTTAGTGACAATTTTTGGAACAAATTCAGTAACTAAGACAAAGAAATAAACAAAAAAAGAAAACAGAACATAAACAGAATTGCAAGAACCTTTAATTGTTTTAGTTACAGGTTTTCAGTGATATTTTCCCTAAAAAATAACAGAAGATTTCATCAACTATTATAAATGCTCAAGTAAAATATATGTCATATACACACACAGTATAAATCATGACCATCAAGGGAGGCCAATTATCTTTTCTAACACACATCATTCTTCACAACAGTTGAAAATATATGCTTTCCAAACATATAATTTACAGCAAGCTATGTGAATTTGAAAAATATCCCTTTCTTCTCTGAGCTTCAGATTTCCTATTTGTAAAATGAGTAAAATATTTTTCTAAATACTTTGCAATATATATCAAACTTTACATAGTATATGAGTAAAAAGAAAAATAATGCATCAGAAATGAAAACAGTAAACCAACATAAGATAGTTGTTCTTTTAGTCAACAAAAATTTTGAACACCCAATATGTATATCAGGCATTCTCTTTAATGATGGTGACACACACAGAGATATGATAAAGTGCCTCTAGGAGGTTAAAATATAGTAGGAGGAATTGATTGTGTTTTAAACATAAGTGCCATATAATTATCATAGGTGCTTTGACAACGATGTCGACATCTTGGTAAGAAAGTGAAGAGTGATCAATTTTGCCTGAGGGACTCGAGGGAGCCTTTGGTGAGAAGTAAGGGAGACAAATGTTAAAGCACAAGAAAGAATTGATGAAGATACTCATATAGGGCAGGGTCTTCTATAACGCAGAAGGAGAAACACGCCTTTGGTAGACATTGCAATGAATTTGGTGTAGTTGGAATATAGCCTGTGCGTACATGCGTGAGTGCATGTGTGTATGCGTGTGCAGAGATGGATATGCTGTTTGCGCTTTGTCATACTAGCAATGAGGGCCAGAAAAGGATTTAAGTAAGATGAACAGATTTAGGTTTCTACCATTTACTCATGGAGGAAAGGATATGTTGGAGGAAGGTAAAGTCTGAGATGGAAGAACAGCCATTGCAAGTTGTGGAAAGGAGTAAGGAAGAGGGTTCTAAGACAATTCGGGAGAACAAGAAAATTTAAAGCAAATTTGGGAGAAATCAGTGACCAGGCTGTGTCCTATTTAGCAAGGGGAGGTCAATGGAAATGGAAGTAGCATAGGAAAAATCCTAGATTTCTGGTTCCTTAATGAACTGGCAAGGAGAAAATATGAGCAGGGGTACTTTTGTTGGGAGCAGAGAAGGAATTCGGCTTTGGACACTTTGAATTTGAAAAGACCATGGAATGTGTAGTCCGAAATGTCTACAAAGCAGTAGAAAAATCTGCACTAGTTAATTCAGAGTTGATGAGATTGTTTAGTGGGAGTTAGGTGAGGTATTTGAAAAAGAAGGAGAAGACAAAGAGAAAAAAAGGAACATAAATAGTATTCATGGAAACAACTAAAGAACACTGTGTATTTTTTCTTTGACAGGCATGTCAGAGTGGCTGAAAACTTAATAAAATTAAAATGATATTTTAAACTTAATAAATTGAGGTGTATGTTTGACTATATAAAATATTCCAAATTTTATTTTCATTTTGTTCCTATGAGTTATTTAAATATTAGCCACATGATGGTGCTATGCTACTGAATCATATGATATGGAATTCCTTCCTAGTCATTTAAGACTGAAAAAAGAAAATGAGTTTTACTGATTTACCTTGTAAATAGGAAACATAAATGCCCAGCGGAATAAATTGAGGAAGACCTTAATCTATTTGTGAAAGGGTCCTTGTGAAGGATAATATCATTTATCTCTTATGCTTTTAAGGGAAAAGAAAATTCTGCTATGGATTTAATGTGATAACACAGTTATGTTAATTTGAAATGGACTAATATTTCCAAGTAACATAGAGATGGTGATTGTTTTTAATTCAAAAAAAACTTTTA